CCCGAATACTTGTTTGAGCTGCTTCATCCACCCCACCTTCTCCCTCTGATTCTCTCAGCACCTGCCATATTAAAAATACAATTACACCACTGAAAAGTCATGGATTTAGTCTCTGTCACTTTTCCGATGACCTTTAGATTTAACACTGGCTCCCAAGTGACCCCTGCCCCACAGGTCAGTAGTTAAGTCGCCCATTCTCTCCACCTCCTTTCATCACTCAGCCTTCAAAGAACAAAAGTCAGATCTGCCTTGCTCACACTACTTTAGCCATGGTCACTGCATATCATTCCCTAGCAGCAAAAAAAGTTGTGGGAGCCAGTTGTGGGGAGCTGCTGGAAGATAAATTACTAAATGATTCATGAATCGTATGCCTCTGAAATGCAACAGTCCTGCAGCTTCTGCTTCATGCTCAGCCCAAGGTGCCAGGGTGGATCTTGGTGTCCCAAAACAACTCTGTTCTGTTATTTAATTTGGCTGACTCAGGAATCCTGTAAGTCTCCTTTTGCTATGCTCATTGTACCCTCCTACTCCCTGGTTTAGACTCAGTACAACTAATAAGGCTGCTGACTACATGCCTCACCACAAAGTTCTCCTCAGCATGGGCAACACTCCAGAAAAAACAGGCACCGTGTAGATCTAAATTTTCACTACGCAACGCCTAGTGCTAGGCTCGGCATGTTCACATAAGCCAGGATTTGAATCCACCGAATCTCAGGCTGAAGCCCTGTCAGCAGACCTTCCTTTCCTCTAACCACAGCCTGGCCATCACTAGGATTCATGCACAAGACTACAGCATCCTTGCAAGACACAGTTGCAACATATTTCTTTCCTTGTCCAACCTCAATCACACTCCATAGCCATAAGGGAGATATTGAGAAAGTGGACATAATGAAGCTGTCTGCACAGCAGGCTGGTTCCTGGTGATGTGTGGGCTACTTTTAAGGACAGCGTACATTGCAACTCTCCAGGCATCAGTTCTCTTAGATTCTGTGATAGCTGAAGAGTGGCATTTCTCTGCTAGCACTCAGCCTCTGATGAAAGTAATTTTCATTTGACCTGAAACGTGGAGCTATATTTTTCCGTTGATCGTGGTGCAAATTCGAAGTAAAAGAATGTCTCACTGGAATTTCTGCTTCACAAAGGCATGGGAGGACACCTCACACCCTCTGTGCAGGTTAGGGGTGCTGTGGGCTGGAGGGAGCAATGACTCTTCTAACTTTGCATCATGCCTTTTTTCTACCAGGAGATAGCAAAGATGCTTCTAGAAGATACCACCTTAGCTGGCCTTCCTTGAAATATTGACAGCCATATCCTCACCAAAAAAAAATTTAAAAAGGGAAAAAGAGTGCTATTCACAGAACTCTAGCACTGCTACTTGCATTTAGGAGCCTTGAGTAGGGGCCTTAAGACTAGCGACATTCTTTTCATTTATACTAAGATTTTGCCACTGCTGCAACATAGTTGAGACATTTTCAGTCAGCTCTAAAAGATGTCTCCATGTCAGAGGTCCCGTTATCTCACAGCACCATGCCTATACTGTGCCCATTTCCAGAGGAGGCATTGCCGCATGATCCTGAGCATACTAATTGCCTTGCTTAGTGTAAATACGTATTTTGCTGATTTCATGACTTTTATATATAATTTCTTGAGATGATACCTTTCTCATGTCATCATAGAGCAGCATCAGGGCTGTGAGACATCCAGTTGAGCGCAAAACTGAAATTGTCCCTGTGTCCCAGTGATTTCCCATCTTTGCCTCAGAACTTCTGCGTCTGTCATCCTAGTGCTTCCTCTCCCAGGCTCATATTCAACTGGGGATTGGGTTGTTCCCACCCGTTGTTAGCCAGAAAGAGCAGCTTTACATCCTAAGCTCCCCTCTGCTTTGGAGGAGTTTTTATATCTGAACCTAAATTCCAGTCCGAATATGTGGGTTGTGCCTATCTGAACATCCCCAGATAACAAGAGACTCAAATCAAAGTCCAAATTATTCTTTAGGGTGACTTCTGCTTTTTAAAAAGAAGTTGGTTAATATCTTTTCAATTGTGAATAACTGGAAGACAATACAACAAATACAAATACAACAGTGTTGCACAGTGAAATTTTATTTATCTGTCTTTTTCAAGAGCTGGTCAAAATCTTCTTAGCATGTAGCTTGAAAAACAATTCCACCAAAAAGTGTAAGGAATCATAATAAACAAAGAATTCCTGTCATTCTTCATCATCTGATAACATTGTTTCTAACATCAAGAATCTTGCATAAGTGCTGAACAGTAGAAATATCCTCTACTGGAAATTATATTGTAATGTTTTTGCTATCCTCTACTAAGTGGTATGCAAGTGTAAAATGAAATTTCAGAGAAGTTCAAAAGGACAAAGATTAGTTTCTCAAGTAATTTATTTGGAATATATTAGATGTTAAATAACATCATATAGCACAAAATGTGGTCAGTTATACCATATTTTTTCATGATCATACAGATTAAAAATCCCCATAACACGAAGAAAACACCTGACAAAAAAAAAAAAAGTCTTTGGTACATAGATCTAGTCAAACACATGCTGAACATGAGAGTAGGGGACATCTAAATGGAAAGGAGAATAAATAAAAGCACTGATATGAATGAAAGTGGTAACAAGAAGGAAAGCTTTTTATGATAGAAACTCTAACAAACATTTTATGTTACAAAATTGCCAGGTTTCCTTTCCTCTTCCCTGGACAATAACGCTGCTCACAAGATGTTTTGGCTTGCCTTGGTCACACCTGTTGTGTAGAATGACAAGTGGCTGATAAACCAGATAGCACCGCCACACCTCGCCCTTAAGTGCTCTGATTTACTTGGGCTAATTTATCCTGCTGTAACTCCCAGCAAGTCAACAGAAAGCTGGGAGGAGGACTTGGCTCATTACCTCTGAGGCGCTGTGCAGAAAAGCTGTGACTCCATTCAGTGGCATTAAAGCGAGCAGAGGCGGGGAGAAAGCGGTGCTCATTTCACAGACCTTGCCAAAGACTCTTAGTGCCTTTTCACTCAGCTGCTCTCCAGTGCGACCCTCAGCCCTGGTGGCTCAGAAATGCAGGGATAAGCAAAATGAAAATTAGCAGTGTTCAGAAACAAAGTGAAATCACCATGATCCCTCTCAGGTTTTTTTTTTTTTTTCTTCTCTTTTGGTGAAAATCTGTCCATTGACGCTTCTGTGCCCTACAGCACCAGCCTTGGATGGGGTGAGCTGTGTTCCTCTCAGACCTTGGTCTTTGTCAATGAACAGGACAGCCCAGTACATGCTTAGCAGGAACCAGCCACTTTTTTTTTTTTTTTTTTGGTGCACCTGGTGGTTATCAAGGCTTTAAAAGGCAGCACAGCTTTGGGTACCAAATCTCCTCATGCAGAAGGGCTGTACATATCACATGCACAAACCCTATATCTGCTTCCTGAAAGCAGCTCATAGTTTCATGAATTAACAGAAACAGCCTAGGGACCTGCCATGGCAGATGGGAGCTCCGTTTCTTCACCAGTGGTGAATAGTTTTCTGGTCTAAGCATTGAAGTCCACATGGAAATCAAAAGGTCCTGCATCAGGGAGGGCAGGATCTGACCAGGAAGCAGCTCTGTTTAAACCTGGCATCATTTTTTCTGTTGCTCTAGGCAACTTTATAACTTGCATGAGTGGTCCAGACCTTTGCTGGCAGAGGTTATAGCTCAACCAGGAAATTAAATTGATTTGAGGGCAACAACCCACAATGGTCACCTTCATGAAACTTCTTTTCATCCTGCTTATCATCTCAACACCTACAGCACGGTGCTTGGCGTTCCCTACAGGGAACTGACCCACTGAATCCAGTGAAAGACATTTACACCAATTTCTTTCTCCTTCCTCCCTCAGCCTATTGGGGATGGTGTCCAGATGGAGGACCCTCAACCACAGCAGGAGAAAGCAAGGGGTTTAAAGGCAGTTAGTTGGGTATGCAGGCAGCATGCCCCTAGTCTTGTCCATGGTGTTGGCAGCCAGCCTGGGGCAGACATCAGTCCACCTTCACACAGCATCACAGCACCAGGGTCTGACAGGTGACAGCAAGGATGTGTGCAGCCTGACTGTGTCTCTCACAGCAGCAAAAGCAGGGCTGGTTCAGGAACTCGATGCCCAAGAGCCCTGGCACACAGGCCTGTGCTGAAGGGGCACCTCAGTGCCCCACTGGTGTCTGCCCAGCACACGCTCCAGCCGCTTCTGCACCCTGGCACAGGAAGGGGCACTGCTCACCGATGTTTCCATGAGGGTTTTCACAGTCTGTCACCGAGGACTTTCGCCTGGGACCTCCTTCCCAAAACAGGACCGCTCCCATTGCTACAGCTGTTGAATACAAAGACTCTTAGCCACCAACTTGTTTGATAGGCTTTTAAGGCAGCCGGAGGGTAGCTGACCAGCTTCCTTCACATGCACACTGTCACTGCTGTGGGGGAGGTTTACTCTGCCTGTTGAACACACTGAAACTCACCTATGACTGTGTCTTCCTTCACTTTAAATTGTCCTTTTTACTTTAACCTAATGTTTCATTTTGTTTAATAACATCTTCCTCTGGCTCTAAGGATCCCTCCAGTCTGCTGGAGAAAGATGCAATCAGGTTCAAGGGCTAGGACTTGTATTGTCAAAAAAAAAAAAAAAAAAAAAAAAGGGGGGAAAAAATAGTTCACAGGCTCAAGAGGGAGTGCAATTACCCCCTGGAACCACTGATGAAAATGTCTGGGACCACTACTTCGTACCATGACAGGACAACATGCTCCAGAAAAAGCTGACAGTTGGGAAAATTTGGAGGCATCTTCTCAGACACATAAAGCGGGAGCAAAGCAGGATGAGACGCAGTCTCTTGAGCTGTTAAGTCACTAGGAACACAGGTAGTCTCATCAACACATCAAGCTCCAATCAAAGTTTAAGAAAAACAACAAAAAAAAAAAAAAAAAAAAAGAATCAAGCTGGAAATAAGATTCACAGGCTCAAGAGTGAGTGCAATTAGCCCCTGGAACCACTGATGAAAAACTGTGGCAAATATCACATCTCTCAAAATCTTTCACTACCAAGGCCAGATGTCTGTCTTGGACAAATTCTGTGGTGCAGTCATCATTCTTGAGCTCAGTACTGTTTCCTCAAACAAATAGCATGGGAGAATAATCTCCTTCCCTGCCGGAAACACTGGATGAATTTCTATGGCCTGATGAGAGCAGAAGGCCATTCTGGCCCAGACTCTGCTGTAACAGCAGTGAGTCCTTCCAAGCTCCCAGGGGCTACACGTTCTGTCTGGTCTTCCAGGCTGTTGGCTGACCAAGGATTTGCTTTCCTATTAAATAAAAATCTATACCAAATAAAGCAGTAATAAATATAAATAAATAATCACAGTAACATAGAGGTTCAACCCACAGATTCTGCAGAAAGAGGGGGACTATCAGTCTAACACCAAGACTACATGGTCTCATTGTCTGCTAGGGAGATGATGTCTCTGACCAACACTCTGCTATGTTGCTGCTCATGCCAGGAGAGGAGACATCGCAGTTTTCAATCAGAGTCAGCTCCTCCATGCTTTGCAAGTGTGGGGCTTGCTGGAAGAACCCCAGGATGCTGCCCCGTGCTGTCACTGCAGTCTGCTGCAGGCCTGGCTCTCCCAGGACCTTGACGAGGAAGTTGATGTATCTCATAGCTAACCGGAGCGTCTCGTTCTTGCTCAGTTTTTTGTCTGGTGGGTGGGTGGGAATGAGCTTCCTCAGCTTGGCAAAGGCGCTGTTGACATTTTGCTGCCTCCACCGCTCCCTGGTGTTGGTGAAGATCTTCCTTGTCATTCTCAAGGTGCTGCAAGGCAAACGAGATGGGAGTGAATGCTAGATACCTCTGGCTTTCACACAGTCTGCTGCTCTGGGGGCAGAGTGCCTTCTGGGCCAGCTGCAAGCACACAGTGGTGGTGCTAAACATTTCCAACCTTTGCCCTCTGTGGCTGATGCCCTTGTCCTGCAGGTACTTCACAGATTCACCCTAATCTCTAAAGTCATGTCCCTATTCACAGCCATGATCATAAGCATTGCACCTAAAACCAGATGCCACAGTCCAGCAAGGACTTCACAAAGGAGTAAATGAAGTTTAATTTCTTCATACAACCCTTTGGTGATACCAAGAGCCCATCCTCTCCAAACTTCTGAGAGTTGCCCTGCAGCAGAATTCCCAACAGCTAATTCACTATTCGTGCCACCAGGCTGCATGAGGGACACCCAGACACTTTTTGCAGTGGAAGGCAAGCAGACAGGCAGCCCCGAGGCAAAACACATCCATATTTTCACAGCCCCCAGTTCACACCTTCTCAGAGGCTGCTCCCAGCTGCCCCAAGCTTGGTGACTCATGGCTGGAGCTAAGCCAAGTGGACCTTTCATGGGCCTTCAATGAGGAGACAGCCAACACTATGGACACAGTTATTTCGGGAGACTTCTCTAGGGAAGCAACCATCTGGTTCCCTGCCCATCCCACACTGACTGTTCACTACTGGTGGCAGATACTCCTCAGTCTGATCCATTCAGGCTTCTGCTTTAGTCTCTGAGAGCTTCCAAGACTAAGCCACAAGTGCCATGAGTGCAGGCAGCAGAGGGGAAGTGTGATTCCTACAAAATGTGCAGGCATCCCAGCTAAAATACCCACATAGGTGTCCCCTGCTCACAGAGCTGAGCCTCAAAGGGAACCCAGTGCCCAGAGCCAACCCGGCAGCAGAAGATCACTGTGCAAGGAGCATGGGGTAATTTTAAATCCCATTTACCAGAAAGGTCATCAAAAGCTCTTGGGGTTGCCCTAACCCTGCTCCCACCACCATTGGAAAGTCTCTTCCCTTCTCTCCCACAGCCCTGTAGGAGACACTCACTTCTTCATTTCTGAAGCTGCTTTTGATGCCAATGGCACACAGACAGAGCAGGGAAAAACTATCTGCAGCCAAGAGACTAAAGGACAAATATTTCCACTTACCCTCCCATGCATGTGAAAACCTCAGCTTTTTATATTCATTGGCAAACCCAACCTCATAGCAGTGCCACAGGGGACTGAGGAGCAGGGGTGATAGCACCCTTCACCTTCAGAAAGGGGAGAGTTTGGGGTGACAACCCAGCTGTGATCCCATGACCGTGTGAAGAAGCCTCATACCATGCAAGACACTTGGGGTTCACCAAAGTATGTGGTAATAGTCCGGGTGAATAAAGAAATCCCACTGGGACTCAGAGGCTAATTTGGTGCCCTGGCAGGGAGACAAGATGTGCATAGCAGACGGGGAAGTTCCCTGCAAGCTCCTTCAAGCCCCAGTCCAGCAGTGACTACAAATCACCAGGGAAACACAGTTACAGGCTCATAAATTAATGTCAGAGCCATGTTCAGAGACCTTGGTTGGAGATGCAGCTAATACAGATGTACCCATGTGTACTATATATGGCTACACTCATGCCACCCATACCTCCCAGGCTCCTCTCAGCCATAGCCTTTACACAGCTAACACATTTCTATTTTGGTAGAAGTCTGAAATTGCTGTCAGGCCCAGTTGTCTACTCTGCCTTTAGGGGATGAGAAAGTTGTCTCATCCAAATGTCCTTGCTTCATGAAAGTCTCATTTAAAAACTGAGCTCTCACATTTCAGGTGGCTGAGAGTTTTCCATATTTTTTGTAGACTTATATTGAGACGCCTTGCTTGATGTGAATAGAGACTGTATCTCTCTTTTTTTTATTATCTCCTACCCCATGTATTACTTTTGGTTTGTACTGGGGAACAAATCTTCTTGGCACTTTGCACCTACCTGAAACAGCTAGCATGTACCTTTTTTGGCAAGGATTCCAGAACTTCGCCACATCAGTGACATGGATTTTAAACATTGTCTCCCAGTGCTCCTCTGTACTGCGGCTCAGCTCATTCACTCCCCAAGGCAGAACTTTTGCTTTTACAGTTTTATTCTTCCAAGCAGCTGCTTGGATCCATATGAAGTTCAGAGTAACACCTGCTTCTCTCTCCTGTGTTTTTGGTTTTTGGTGCTTTCTTTGTTTGGGTTTTGTTTTGTTATTGTTTGTTTAAAGACAAATTTATCCATGTACAAGGTAGTGGTTCTTTTTTATGTAGGGAAAAAAAATATGTTTCTTGTGATGGGTCAGGTGCATTCTATTTTGTCAGGCCTTTCAGTCTCTGCACTGTAATTCTGGCCTGTGTGTCTGGGTTTGCTGTACGCCTGTTTACATCTCAGCTACAAATACCAACAGAGGGCCAGCTCCTTCTCTTTCCCATGCTGCAGACAGTCCACAGCACACCATTCCAGGAAAGCAGGATAGCATCCACCCCTGGCATTGTGGACATGTCATCTTGTCCTGTTAGCAGCATTATTAGTAGGAAAATAACCCCAGACTACTCCTTCACACTACACTTTCTTTGTCTGTCTTCTCTTGCCTTTGGAAAGGACAATACTACATTTGTGGTCACAAGCCTTGTCAGCAAACAGATGCCTTTGTGAGACCAGTTCCTACTTTACACTTCAAAAACGTGTGTTTGTATTTCTCATATTTATTCAAGATCAGCAAACAACAGCTCCTCCCCTCCCCCAGCGCCTCCTCTTGCTCTACCCCGAGCTTCATTTCAGGTGTAATCCAGCTCCACACGTCTCTCTTTACACTCCACACTCTCTCTTTACAGTCTTCTCTCCTTTCTCCCATTGCTGTTGTGGGTTTCCAGTTGTTGTGCTCAGAGTTTCAGCTAGAAATATAAGAGAAAACCGAGCCTGATCCAATCCTGCAGTAGCTGTAATGTTTCAGCACAGCTTCATTCCGTCACCTATACATTCATCTAGTCCTCTGTAATCACAGCACCTCCCAGTTAAAATGCAGTGAGTTTACTGACAAGGGATTTGTTTTCCATTCCTTTTGTCTCAATCCCTTCCTCCTTTTCCCTCCTTCTCTCCAGCCCTCCCCACCAGGCTTGCCTTTCAATGTGCTATTACTTGCAGATTCAGGTCTTAGCTAATGCTGCTCATCCGATCAATCTATTCTTTAGCTTTCTCCAGTGTACTGTATAAAATATGCATTGTCTAGTGGCTGTGTGTGGCTTATATCCCACTGGTCCATTTTACAACTGTACAGAAATCACCCGTTTGTATGTATCGTGGACAGCTAAATTTCATTAACCTGCAAGACTGGATTTTGTGCTTTCTGGTCACCTTCCCTAACCACATGTTAACAGTGCCACATTTAGCTGACAATAAAGAAACCCAGGAAGACATCAGCTTAAATTCAAGAGGATTAATTCTGCTCTCAGGAATGTAAATCTGGAAAGTTACACCATTTTCACTGAAGGGATTACTCTGAAGGGCAAAACGTTGCCACAGAGAACAAGATTTAACTCAGATCAAGAAGACACATCCAGCAGTGGTAGGTAAGCACAGTTTCATGAGCTAAGATCCACATCTGCAGTGTGTAAAGAGAATTGTGCAAAGAAATAACCCCAGCCCAGCAGTGAGAAACCCAGCCAGAATGAGAAAAAACAAAATGCCGCCACCCACCAAATAGATAACTGAAGCTCTTTCCACTCCCACTGCCTACCCATTTGAAAATTACAAAAATGGGGGAATCAGGGCGGGG